AGTGTAGGTGTATATGTAGCAAGCTTGAATAGCACTGATAAGGATTTCATCCAGGAACAATATAAGTTTGAACTGGAGTAATCCTTGTTTTTACATATGCATGTCTATGGTCATTGAATTTTTGTTTTGCATGAGGTTAGCAATGAAGTTGTTCAAGTATTTCTGTTTAAGTGAACAAAGTGAGCTCATGTAATAGTGAAGGCGTATATAGACTAGCCTGGACAATACTCATATCAACAAATTGAAAAAACGATAGTATATGTTTCTTTGAGGATTAAAATTTGAAATGTGGAATAACTAGAGTATTTTCAATTACCTGTGCATAGTTCATGTCAGTCTGATGTATCAATGGAAGTTGTCTGAAGATGAGAACAATGTCTTTGATAAATAGAGAACAGGAGTCAGAAGTGCTTTGAGCCTTTACAGGCTTGGAAAAAATGATTTGTATTATCATCTTTGAATGACTGTTCCTCCTCGTGAAATATATATTAGTCAATGAAACGACTTTCTAAATGACTGAGAGTTCTGAGCATAAGACAACTGAAATTCTAGCTTTCACATGCTGGCCTGTTTTTCCTGGCTAAATTTTAAATAGTGTATCTTCATTTGTCAACAAGTGGAAAAAATCTTAATAATGGAACTTCATGGTAAATTGTATCATTTTGCAGCTGTACAAGAATTCAGTGGATCGGTATGAAAGTGATCTAACAATGGTGGTTCATTCCCTTATTCTTTCAATGACCGAATCTTTTCATATTGGCAAGCCCGAAACATGCAATGCAAGCTGCATCAGATCTTATCTAGTGAAGCTCCTCCAGTCTTGTGGTTTTAATGCAGATATGTGTGCAACCAAGTGGCAGGGTTGTGGAAAAATTCCTGGAGGTATGTTTTTTTCTAAATTCAATTCTTGCCTGTGTACTATATTAAGAGGTCTAACTATGAACATTATTTAGCTCAAGTATGAAAGCCTTTGACTGTACAAATGTTACAGTCTGAACCACTGAGAATGTATCCGTAGCCTCTGAATGGTGTGGTGGCATTGTGCGCCATATGTGTTACTAGTAGTTTCAACTAGATAACGTGTTCATGTCGCTGTGTCTTGTGATTAAAATATTTAAATTTGCACTGTCAAACATCCTTGTGAGCTAGATTTCTGGTTGACATTGTGCTACATTTCCTCTGTTATGTAGGTGAACACGAGTACATTGAGGTGATCTCCCATGGAAATGATGGATGCTCCGAAAGGTATATCATTGATCTTGACTTTCGGAGCCACTTTGAAATTGCAAGAGCTGTCAAATCCTACAATGTGGTCTTGAGTTGTCTTCCACCAGTTTATGTTGGCACAGTAACAAAACTTAAGCTGTATCTTCAGGCTATGGTAGAAGCAGCTAAATGTTCACTCAAACAGAATTCAATGCCTCTTCCTCCATGGCGATCCCTTGCCTATCTAGAAGCCAAGTGGGAGTCCAGTCACAGAGTAGCCAATGTTCAGGTTCAGAGTAGCGTCAGCTCCTCTAATTCCTCTCATCGGCATTGTACTGAGCTGTTGTGGAGGATAAAATCCTGTATTGGATCTGAAATCAAAGCTAAAGGATTCTTGGTACTTAAGACCTGTAGAAAGAGGCAGGGGCTAAAGATCGAATCGAGTCATTCTTCCCCAGTGACTCCATGATCTTGCATTGAAAAAACACAATTTTGTTCGACATCAACTTTTTGAAGGTTTTTGTTCCTCTCTTCATTTCTACTTCCATTTTCGACATTCAACAAATTACAGAAAGCTTCAACATGAGGTAAAATTACTGCGGATTTAGTTTGTTCTTTTTGTATCATAATAACACTGACTCGGGAGGATCTTATTCATGTGCTACCGCGATCAAGGTTTTGCAGAGTACAATTAGAGTTGCATCTGGTTTTTGTTTTAGCAACTTGCTAGTTGCTACCATAATACAGAATATATCAAATTTTGACTGGGTTTCCCAATTTTGTACCTTCTTGGTCTAAAGATCAGATTCTATTCGATTTATATTTTATTTTTTTGATTCAATTTTGACATACGGATAATTGAATATTTCACGGGATTTGTGGAAAAAGAAGAAGATTTTTAGTAGGTACTCAGATGTGTAAGTGATGTATTTTTTATATTTTGGTATGTTTATTAGTCTTGTGCAACCTTTCGATGTGTTACTTCTTGCTATTCATTATTTATGTTTGGTATTTAGTGTAGCTTAATGTATTGTGATTTCTGGAATTTGATTAGACCTTTAGCGTTTCTTATTAAAAATTTTTTTTCATAATGCCTCTCAAATCTAACCGACAGAGTTTGTTGGAACAAAAAAGGATTAAAACTGCATAGTTTAGTTTAGGCATAATACATAAAGAGGACCTTTAACTTGGCATCAATTCACAACTATTACCCTAAACTTTGCCAGTGCACAAGTAGGCACTTTAACCATCACAAATTTAAACAATTAAACACTCGTATATCCCAGGTAAAGTGCGTGCTATACAAATGCTTCTACGTGGCTGCCAACTAATTAAAATAAATACACGTGGATTTTTCAATTAAAAAACTGAAAATAAAAACAAAATAAATATCAATTAACAACTCTGACCCTATGCTTATAACGGAGAACAACGTTTTCCTCTTTCTTCTCTACAAAATCCTAACCTAATTCTCTACAAAATCCTAACCCTAAGTTCCTACATTTCATCCTTCGAATCAAAGGTAAAATTGTTCAAGAAATTGTGAAGAAAGAGAGGAAAATGGCAAAAAGTTGTTGAAGAAATTAGAAAGAAGAGAGTAAAGTGAGATTTTATATATATGAAAGAGATTCATTAAGGGTAGAAGTGTCATTTAAGTCGTTTTTTTTACTGTTGGGGACCTTTATTTTTACCACTGACGCGCCTAATTGAAGTGTGTTTCACGCACTTTGCCATGTAGGATTAGAGTGTTTAATTGTTAAATTTTTGGATAGTTGAAGTGCCTACTTGTGCAATAGCAAAGTTTAAGGTCATAGTTATGAATTAATGTCAAGTTAAAGGTCCTCTTTATGTATTATGCCTTTAGTTTATTAAAAGTTATAGAAATATATCTCAATTATAGTACCAAGTTTACTTGTTATGCACCGTTAGTGTCAATTGTCAACTATTACGATAGTAACATGTGCCCCTTGTCATTGCTTGATGATGATTGATGGATATATTTACGATATTTATTGGTATGCTACATTATTGAAAGGTGCCTTATTGAAATGCATTTCCTCCGTTAAAATTTGAGGATATTTAATGGAAATATAAACTATTTGGTGATGTGTCCCAATTAGGATGGAGTTTAGTGGTTTGAAGTCCATGTGAGACAAAATTCAATATTTATAAGTTTAAATAATTGTATAATTTTATATAATAATGGTATATATATATATACCCATAATCTAACAAATAAGGGATATTTATCCTTTTCATTAACAAATATATATTTACTAAATCAAAAAATCAATTCTTAAATTCATTTCTTAATTTAAAAAATATCATGTAACTTAAAAAATAAACTCATCTATTCTTTTACATATCAGAGTTCATACCCAATGTAAAATATCAAATCCTATCCCAATGGTAATAGCTAATTACATCTTATTTCTATTTTTTTTTAAATTATAAAAATCTCTTAAATTTGATGGAATCTGGATACATCCCAAAATGTCTCTGTACATCGAGTTTTGATTTCAAATACATCTCTTAACTTTTCGATACATCGTGTCTCGATTTTGAATATATCACTCATTATCTTGATACACGTACGTCCCGATACATAGTGTAAAGTGATGTATCCAAGAATAGAAGAGAGCATAGATTTTTATAATTTTACAAATGATAGAAAATTTTAAAGAATATGATAAATAAATTATATGTTTAAGTAATTTTTCCTTCTTTTGCTCAGTCATAAAATAGGTTAATATAACATCTAGAGCCGTCAAAACGGGCTTAGTCCATGGGGCCGATCCAATCCAATCCGTTATTGGGGTAGGGTTGAGAAAAGATTTTTCAAGCCCATTTGAAACTAGGGCTTGATCGGGGCCGAGCCAAGGTCGGCCCATGGGCCAAATTTTTTTATTTAAGAGTAACTTACGATAATCTCACTAGTATATAATCTAATTACTTAAATACACACTATGTTGTAATATTATGAATCTTACCAGATTTTGGTATGTCCAGATATGTATATCTCGGAATATATGGACTCAAAATCAATTTGTTCTAGATACACTCTATCCAAGTAAATTCGCATTCATCTAGGATACATAGACAAATCTCGTGCCCTCGCCTCCATCCCATCTTGATGTTCACTCTTTTATCTCCCTCGCGTATCTGGTATGCGAGATACATGCTAATTACACTAGATTTTTTGCTAGTTTTATTGAAACAAACCATTGTTTGTCATATTTGATTTGAAAATTTCCTCATTTTCTTGATGTTACAGAACTATAAGTTTGAAAAGAAAAAAAAAAGTAAAAAAAAAGTAGGGCTAGCCCGCCCCAACCCTCGACCCTTCTAAGGTTGGGTTGGGTTGAACATTTTCAGGCCCTTCCAAATGAAGGGTCGCCCGCCCTAGCCCTTCAAATTCCTTGGCCCATGAGGTTTGGACCGGGTGGGGCTAGGCCGACCCTTTTTTTGACAGCTTTAAATTAACATCTAAATAAAAGAGAGATAATTTTTTAAAAAAAATTTAATTAAATTTATTAATAAAAATCATTATAAATATACATTACTCCCTCCATCCCATTTGATGTGTCACTTTTCAGATTTTGAGATTCAAACAAATCTAACTTTGATCATAAATTTTTCATAGTTCTTTTAAACATTTAGAATTATCAATTATTGCGACTTATAGTACTTTTTATGTAGTTTACAAATATATAAATTTCATTTCAAAAAAATTAAAAATTTCATGTGCAAATTTCCAATTAAATTTAAACTGTTTGATTTCGAAAAAGGAAAAGTGTCGTGACAGAGGCAGCATTTATTAGACACAAACATTGATATTTGCATGCATCGAAAAAGGCGAAACAAACAAAAACTGATAAAAAAAAAGAAAAGGAAAATCGGAGTGTGTAGAAGATAACAAGAAGAAAAGATGCCTCGGAGTCGATTTGCAGGATCATTGATTTCTCCAAAGGTGGATGTTTACATTGATATGGGAAACCCTTTTCTAAATCACACTGTTGATGCTTTCTTGAAGATCGGCACTGTAAATTTTCTCTAAATTCATTTTCATTTCTTCCAAAAAAAAATTCGATCTTGTGAAAATGGGTTTGCTTAATTTTTATCCTAATTTTAGGTTGCTGCCACCAAAACTGTTGCTGAAGAAACTTACGGAATAGTCACTAGAGGTTTGATTTTTAGTGCTCTCATTCCATTTCTTGAATACCCAATTTCAAATTAATCATTCATCTTTAATTATTACTCTCCCTGTCCCTAATTACTTGTTCACTTTTGAATTGATTAAGAAATCAATAATTAACATAGTGAGTTAAACATTTTAGCCTATTAATTATGAAGTGGATGAATTAAAAGCTCTAAAGATTTTCAAAAAGTTTCACCTTTTTCAAAATAATTAATTGATGGTATAATATATAAAAAAATTGTCCTTTGTTGATTTGTTGAAATGGACAAATAATTATGAACAACTAAGAAAAGCAAAGTGAACAAGTAATTAGGGATAAACGAAAGTGGACAAATTAGGGAGAAGGAGTATTGATTATGTGTTGGGAGTGACTAGAATATGACCTATGTTACATTACATGGACTTGTATAGACAGCTATAATTACCCTATACTGTTTTTCTGGTTTTTTTTTTTTTTTTTTTTTTTTTTTTTTTTTAACGGTGGTGATTGGACCAGCTTTTGATAACCTCCGTTAATTCCATGTGTCCACCTCCCACCAACAAAAATGATAACGGTGGTGATTGGACCAGCTTTTGATAACCTCCGTTAATTCCATGTGTCCACCTCCCACCAACAAAAGGTTGGAGGAAATTCCGTCACCAAGACTAATACATATGAGAAAAGTTCACCTAGTGTTTTTTTTGCCTTTGTTGAGATTTGAACCTCAAACTCTATGGTTCTCAACCTACTTTATTGATACTAGGCCACATCCTTAAATGTCATAGTTATTAATTTTTTGGGTAACGGTTAATGCTTTTACTGTTTAGTCCAATGACTACACTAAGCATCATCACTATTAATAGTTGAGGTAAAAATCCAATATTCTATTTTTGTTCTTTTGATCTTTTTCTCGTGTTATGGTAAAGTGTTAGTTCCTAAGTTTTTAAGTTACAAGCTTTTATATATAGAAATAGCCAGACTATTCAGCTCACTATTTTGCAATCAACATGGTCTTTGCAGGCAGTGTTTCGAGTCACAACTTTGAGAAATCGGTAAGCATGCCTTAATTAGTGTTACATCATTTACTATATTTGTGCAAAATTCTAGTTGATTGTTTTAGAGGTGTTGTCTATTCAGTTCTATATAAGGGAGATGTTTTCTAATAATTTGGAAAATGAAGTCTCAAATTTCTATCATTCTTTCCGTCCTAGGGATAACATTTCTCTACCGTGTTTATCCTATGCATCTCTCTCAAGTAGTGTTGTCTTCTTTACCTTACAATGTGTCTGCTGATAAGTTCAGTCCTGGTGAGGGAGGTGAACAATATATTTTAGCCACACAAATCATACCGTTATTCCTGTTGATTATCGTACCAATTACAGGCTCCTACGTACGTCCTCTCTCCGTATCCAACTGTATCTCAGCTAGTTTTCCTCTACCTGGGACTAAATAGTTTAATCCGTTCTATGTGATGCCCCTGAAATGTTGCTTTTTTGGCTTATCACTCAAAGATCAATTTATGCATAGTAAGCAAAAGTTGTAGCCAAATTTTTTACCATCTACAATGTAGCTAACTGCAGGCCTAACTTGGTAATGTTTATCTTAAAGACAGCTTATCCGGACCTGAAATTGTTTTTTAGTAAAGTTTTGGGGTAAGAGCAGCATTTCTCTTATACTCTGCTCCAACAATGTTTCAATTATTCACCACAGAACATAAGTGGCTATTGGGGAGGATTTAATAATGTTGACTGAAAAAACGGATCAACCAACATGGTTGTTGCATTCTAACTGAATTTACCTCTGATTGCAGTTGAAGAAAATGTGTAAAGAAGGTGCTTATTGGGGTGAGTAATCTGCACAAGATCCACCCGTATATAAATTTTAAAATGGGTTGTTAGAAAGAAGTTCTTAGTTTCCCAATTTGTTGAAATTTCAAGTGGATTATGTAACAAATGTTGTCTCTTTAATCAGGGACTGTTGCTGGGGTATATGCTGGAATGGAGTATGGAGCGGAGAGAATTCGTGGAACCAATGATTGGGTAATTTGTACTGCATTTTTATATTAATTTGCTCAACGGATGGAAATTGATTGCCTCTACTTATATATGCGAAGTATAAGTTTACATAGTCAATTTTGTAACGAGGTGTAATTTTCACTAGTACTGACCATCGTACATTCTATGTATCTGACTAATTAATTTGCTCTTTTCTTTTACTGAAAATGATGGTTTTTGGTACGTGGTACGTAATTTAATTTGGACGAGTGTTAATATTCACCGGTCCTACTGAAAGAAGGTTGAGATTTTGAAGTTTCTTTTCTGAAAAACAAGTCAATATCTTTTTTTCGATTCATTTTGGTTTACTGTGTTTGCAGAAGAATGCTATGATTGGGGGTGCGTTGACAGGAGCTCTCATATCTGCTGCAAGCAACAACAACAGAGACAAGATTGTAATGGATGCCATTACAGGAGGTGCTGTTGCTACTGCTTCAGAGTTCCTTAATTATCTCACATGAATTTACTTACCAAACTGCTAAAAACATTGCTTTTAGTATTTGCTCTATTTCTCTCTAATTGACTACGTTTAACTCGATCTACAATTTAGCTTATCTTTCCCAATAATTGTCATGCCTTGTTTAGTATTTTGCGGTGGTTACTCTTTTTTATTTTCTTGAGCTGAGGGTCTATCGGGAACAACCTCTCTACCTACCAAGGTAGGGGTAAAGTTTGCGTACACATTACCCTCCTTAGACTCCACTTGAAGAATTACACTGGATATGGTATTGTGATATTGGATTTTGAGATGCGTTTAAATGGAGCGACATTAATACTGAGGATTCATTTGATGTATAGTTGATCCTAACTTGCTCGGCATTGAGGAGAGTAATTGTTCTCAATCATTTGCTTCAGATTTCAAGTTATCTGGGATGGACAAAGGTGAATCCTAAAATACTACGTCCAATGGCCCTTGAGCCCTAAAGTACCATGTCCAATGGCCCTTGAGCCCTAAAATACTACGTCCATATAGAGTTCCACTTGAGCCCTAAATTACTAGGTCCAATAGCCACATTCCACGTGGAAATAGTATTAGTTGTGCCAGCTAATATTCCTCTATCGTGTGTACGATAATGTATGAACATATCTGTCCTTTTGCCACCCCTTTGAGTAATGAGTCCTTCCCTGTCGTCGGGCCATGAGTTCCTATTTCTTTTTAAGAGAGAAGTGGTTTTTTACTAAACACTATATCATTTTTGAAGCTCGAACACAAAATTTCATTTTAAAATTTATAGAGGAATTTTGTCCATCTCATCATTCTTTGGTAACGCACAAGAACCTTAATTTCATGAAAAATAACCCAAAATATGATTATATGAGATCCCAATATGATTGTCAACGCTTGGAATTCTTTTTGATAGAGAATGTTTCTCTCCCAACGGGGGCCTTATGCGGTGATATGAGGTCAAAATACGTATATTAATTATTATTTGTCTCATATTTAATCTTTTTCTTTATTGTTTTAAGTATGAAATTTATGTATTATTCTTATATTGAGTATTTTATTGAGAAAAGACATAAAAAAAAACTTGTATGCATAACTTAGTTTAGCAATATAACTTTACTGGCGTTGCTTTACCCCGTAATGTAGTTTGAGTTGGATTTAATATCCCCTTAAAAACAAAGAACCAATCTTGCTATTGTAGTTGTTGTTCACGCTTTGCCACGTCAGAATTATAATAATTTTAATTTTCTCTTGTTTTTTCCTTCTTAATTATTCAAAGTTTTTTTTTTTTATTAATTATCTCATGTCTATCGAATATGGCTGTCATTCAGCCTTTTATATTAAAAAACTTGTAATGTAAGTTTATAATAAAAATTAATGGTCAATTATCACAAGGAAACTAGTAAGATTGTTGTGTCATTTCGTGCAGAACATGTATTTGAAAATTGAAAATAAAAAATCAACCCTTAGATATTGTTTTTTACTTTTTAATATTAAAAAAAAAGATATCTTCAAAACATAATAGTTTGCCGCTCTTTAATTGATTTAAGTAAATTTCTTTACGCTATTTGTATATAATTAACCTCTTTTGTAATATATATGCCAACGGAAATGGCTGGTTTCAATTTACTAAAGCCTTAAATAACATTAAGAAATTAAATATCCCTTTAATATAAGTGGGTTATTTTCGAAACTAAATATAATATAAAAAAAATTAGCCACTAGACTGCAAAATGTTGTAGCTTCTATCAACTGAGTTAAGTTTAGGACACTCCATATTACTTAAATAATTAAAAGATATATACATATAATAAATCAAACTCATCATACAAAATTATTTACTCTAGATTTTGAATCCATCAACACTAAAAGGAACAAATCACAAATTATGTAAAAAGTAATAACAAGAAATTTAAGATAAATCGAGTTCTCCGAATTATATATATTTTAAAAACAATAAGTATATAGACACAGAGGGGGACCCACCTTGATTAGTGATGGTGTACGTGCACACGTTAATTTTAAAAAAAAACCATGTGTATATATGTATATCTATCTTAAGAAACTGGCAGAAACTAATATATAATTAATTATGCATGCATGACCGTAGGAGTGTTCTTGTACCTGTTGGTACAAGGTAGATGAGCCACTTGCGAGACCAAGGTTCAAATCCAGCTATTTCATTATTTTTATTTTAAATTTAGCTTAGAGATCATATATGTGGCACCGGAAGTCTTTAAATTCTTAGTAGACATACATACCTTACGCTTATTCTAAACATACCAGTTCTAAATACTGAATTCGTCAACATCAAAATACATTAATACTTTCAAAAAGGTACAAATGACAAATTATATATGTTAAAATGAAGGAGATAACTTATATATATATTGCACATATCAATAAGGTTTGTGTTACAATTCAGATAATAAGCCACCTTCAAACAAACATCAAATTAAACAACCAAAACACAAAAGCCATGAGAGTATAGTATAGTGGCATCCCACACTATTAATTACATGGCTATAGTCTTATTCAAATTATTATACAAAGCTTTTACAACACAATGTTACATAACACACTTAATAATAAATACATAAAAACACAATTTTTTTTTTCATGTCCATATAGTTGAAGCACTGTATATATAGACTATAGTAGAACTTCAACAGTTGCAAGGGTCACAGTTGCAGCTTGATCCACACTTGCACCCATTTCCTCCTTCTGTTGCTTTCTCAATTGATCCTTCAACCATTCCCTTGCTGCAACATTAATCATACAAAATAAATTAACTTGTGATATTTTGCCATTTTTACCAACTTCCCCATTTAAATTATTATATTGTAATACCTTGAGTTTAAATTCTATGCACCGATGATGTAAAAGTTGAGTTACAAAAGTTAAGATACTACACATTACTCTCGAGAAAAGTGAGATTTGTAATCTTGAAAGTAAGACAGAGATTACCTGCTATGATAGGTGTATATAAAAATGGATTTTTAGGTAATTGATCAACCCTAAAAGATATATAGCTCATTAGGAGGCTATTGTTCAAGACCATATAAGTAGAGTAGCCCTTATTAGTCCACTGGTGTGAACTCAATACCCCACATTTAAGACTGGACATCTGGAGTGTGGATGATATAAAGATTGTAATGAAATAATAAATTGAATAAAACCATATAAAAAAGATATGAATCTTGGGCCTAACTAACTGATCAACCACAGAAAAGTTAACTCAGGAAGGGTGAATTTTCTCCCGGACCATATATAAGGAGATCATCAAGTAACCCTTAAGGCCTTAACCTACCGATGTGAGGCTCAACTAAGGTAAAAGGGACATGATAGTGAAGAATAATTCTTTCAAATTCGATTGATATATTTTTTTAAATTTATTTTAATTCGATTGATATTACTTGAACTCAATTACTTTATTATAATTTATAAGTCATCTAATCATGTTGATATATTTTAGACCATAAATACATAAAACTAAAACTCACAACAAAATAAAGTATTAGTTACTTGTTCATAGGTGCAACTCCTTCGATGATGGTAAAGGTAGTGGACTTCTCCAAATCAGGGTACATGCTGCACCTGCAACAAATTGAGATACTATAACTATCGCAACTCATATTTATTATTCTCGAATTGAACTATATATATGTAATTTGTTATATATATATGTTGAAATTGAAAAGAGAATATTTGAAACTGAAGTTAAAAAAAAGTAATAAGAGTTCAGGACATTTGTAAAAAAAAAAAAAGTGATTCTTAGAAGCTCAATTGATTTACCCTCCACCGTTACCGCAACTGCAGCTAGAACCGCAACCACAGCTAGAACCACAACCAGACATTATAATTTTTGAATTTGAAAGACTTAATAATAATGAGAGTATTTCAGAAAATTAATCAAGCAAGTAATTGATGTTTTGGTGAAATTAACAAGAAAGTTTGGTTTTTATAGAAGGGAAGAAGGAATTGGTCATTGTATACTTGACACGTGGACCAATAGTATGGTTAGTGAATAACGTCTTGCAAATGTATAAAAAAATTGAGATAAGAAGGCATTATACTTGCTTCTATAAAGATTGACTAAGCATATTATATTTTACATAATAGAATAATATATGTCAAATTTCCATAGCTAATCCGTCCCTAAATAACTCCTAAATGATTGAGTTTTCTTATAATTTGTCGCTTATATGTAGCTAAGTAGAATTAGTGTGAAATTTTTATTGTTTGCTACAAAATTTCGTTCGTCGTAAATTCCTACTGATATATAATTGAATTCAAAGTTTAGATTTTAAATTAAGAATATTTAAAAAAGAAAAAAAAGCACATTAATACTAAGAAACAAATAGCTTAACGAATATAAATTCTTGCAATTTAAAAAGTCTTATTAGTAGTAAAATAATATCAAAACATTTTGAGATGTCCCAAAGTTAAAAGAAAATGTCAAATGAATTTTGAAAAAGAGTGACATTAATCTATTAATAAAAGTAATGTGACGTTCAAGATGAAGACAATCAATCCTGTAATGATCCGCTGCGGTTTTTATGGGCAGACCAATGGTAAAATAATCGGGTCAGATTTTTTTTTTGGGGTAGAGACTTAAAATTCTAGGCTAGGCTAGATCAGTCTCAGATGGAATCTGAGTAAGGTGAAGTCTAGAGCAATGCAGGAATATTGGATTGGGTGGTGTATCTAAGCTTGAATCGTATTTCCTAATAGCTAAGACACTGGAGTCTATAGAGCCTTCTGGAATAAAATTGGGGTGAGTATGACTCTCGCACTACTAAAAAACTGCTAAAAAATGACGAAAGTAAAAGCGACGGATGGCGTTGCTCCAAAAAGCGATGGAATTAGCCACACTGTCCGTCGCTTTTTAATTAAAATATTTTTTTAATTTTTTTTTTAAAAGCGACGGACGGCATCGCTTAGTCCGTCGCTTTTTTTCACGGATTTTTGCGCCATATATATATATATATATATATATAATGAATAATTAATTATTTTATATAGATAGCGA